TGCCTGAGTTCGAATCCAGATTCTGCCACTTAAAGTATGACCTTGGGCATACTTTAAGTTGAATCATTTCTCTTTTCTCTCCTTTCTCATTTGAAAATGAGGCTATTAATAGTACCTAATAGCCATCGAGTTATTATACGAATTGAAGGAGTATTAACATGTATCTAGCCATAAGGCTGGCTACTTTAATTATTATTTTTCCAAGGACAAAAGCTGAGCCGCTAAGCTGGTCACATTGTCTTAGCCTGGCCACTCTCCCTGTGTTCCAGCATCAGGCCGATTCATCCTTACACTGCCTCTGACAACCCTTTCCTTCTGTCCATGCCAACTCTCCCCGTCCTTGGGCCCTCATTGCCTCCACCTGGGACTGTTCTAATCGCATGTTAATTGGCCTCTGGTCTCCATCCCTCACACAGTCGTCAGATCAATCTTCCTAAAACATTATTCTCATCATGTCACTTGCCTGCTCAAAAACCTTCAGTAGCTCCTGGGGCATGAGTTTGAAGACTGAAAGGCTTGGTTCTCCACTGAGCACCATAACTGGACCCTCTGGCTCTTTCCCAACCTGTGCCCTTGACTCCTCCCACCCACTGGACTGTTCCTTTCCTGAGATCTTTCTCTTTTTTTTGAGACAGAATCTCTCTCTGTTGCCCAGGCTGGAGTGCAGTGGCACAATCTCGACTCACTGCAACCAGGTTCAAGCGATTCTCCTGCCTCAGCCTCCTGAGTAGCTGGGACTACAGGTGTGCGCCACCACACCTGGCTAATCTTTTTTTGGATTTTTAGCAGAGATGGGGTTTCACCATGTTGGTCAGGCTGGTCTGGAACTCCTGACCGCAGGAGATCTGCCCACTTCTGCCTCCCAAAGTGCTGGAATTACAGGTGTGAGCCACTGTGCTCCACCTCCTGAGACCTTTCTAACCACTGTGCTCTTGCCTCTGCTGTTCCCTTGCTGGAGTGTCCTCCTCTGTGCTCAGCCAAAATCTACTGATCCTTCCAGCTCCAGCTTGAATCCCACCCCTAGTAAGTCCCCTCTGACTTCACTCCTGAAATCCAGTGGTAACCAACTCTTCCTTTCTCCCACTGTGCTTTTGGGTTTTTCACCGTCTTCTCAGGACTACATGCCTGACTCTACAAATGCTTTCCAAGGGAGGGGTGGTCTTGCTGTATTCCCCACAGACTTTGGCACTGTGCTGGGGCTACAGAAGGCGTTCAATAAGTCTGTGCTGATGGATTGATTGTGGGGTGCCCTGGATCAGGCTCTCTCTCATGGCCGAGGACGCTTCCACCTTGCCAGCTCTGTGGCTCCTGACAGTCTCAGCTGGATACGAGACACCTTTTTACTCCTGGTTGATTTTTATCTCTGGGGCCAGGGAACCCTCAGCCTTCTTCCTTTCACAGAGGAATGAGATTGTGGTCAGTGAGCAGTGTGGCCCAGGCCTGGGTGCTCATGCGCATGTGTGTTGGGCTGGGGCTGCAACAGCCTCCCCTGCACTGGTCCTTCTTCCCTCTCCTGCTGTCCAGAGAACCCACTCCACAAGCAGGGAGAACTAGAGAAATGAGAGAAAGGGAAGGAATGGAAGGCCTCGGTGCATGTTCCCTGTCCCTTCCCTGCAGATTCAGACTCTAGGATCTGTGAGGAGGAGGGGCTGTGAGCTCAGGAGCATTGGAATGAGCCAGAAGGCTGTAAAAGGACCCAGGCACCCCTGGGTGTGTGGAAGTCTGTTGGTGAGCCTAAGGGCTTGCTTCCTACCTGCTAGAGACTTTGCTTTTCCCCCATGACTACCTCTTACGACATCTGCTGAGTAGTCTCTGTTGTCCTTGAACCCCCACAGGTTTTTATTCCTGTTTCTCATTTGCCCCTTAGGTTTTATTGCCTTGTCATAGGTCCCTAATTCTTCTTCTAGAACCCAGAGCAAAGCAGTAAACAACTTTATATTAGAGTCAGGGATTGTGCTAGCTGCTTCGTGCAGTATCTCATCTAATTTCCACAAGGTTGGTTTATTATCTTTTTAAATCCTCATTTTATAGATGAGATGACTGAAGTTCAGAAGTCATCTCATCTATAAGGTGTTATAGTATATGTTCAGCTGTGCAACTGTGTTTCCTCTGTGGGTCCCGGCACAAGGGGCTCTGGAAATAAAGGATGATGCCATTTCTTCTCTCTCTGTTTTGTTTCTCTCTTGTTGCTGAGGCTGGAGTGCAATGGTGTTGCTCACTCTCAGCTCACCTCAACCACCGCCTCCCGGGTTCAAGCGATTCTTCTGCCCCAGCCTCCTGAGTAGCTGGGATTACGGTCATGTGCCACCATGCCTGGCTAATTTTGTATTTTTTTTAGTAGAGATGGGGTCTCTCCATACAGGCTGGTCTCGAACTCCCGAACTCAGGTGATTCACCCACCTCAGCCTCCCAAAGTGCTGGGATTACAGGGGTGAGCCACCATACCCAGCTGGATGATGCCATTTCTGAGAGCAGCTGGGGTTGAGCATTGGGGTGGGCAGAGGGTGGGATGTCATGGGATACATTTGTATAGACAGTAGGTAAGAGATGGTCCCAAGTCAGAGTGCCCTGCAGCCCCATGAGCTGAACGCTGGTGGTGACTGGTATTCTTTACTGTCCTTGTGATGGCTGGGTGGTCTTGGGTCCCCGAAGGGCCACTTACCTCCTGCCACCAGAATCTACTCTCACACTGCCATGGAAACTCAGTGAGCCCCGTCCTCCGGGGGTTCACTGCCGCTCTCTCAGCCCCCTTTTCTGGACAGGTGGGAGGGGAGAGCTCCCATACATGATTCAGAGAGTTTCCCTCATTATGCTCAAATGAGGTTGAAAGAAAGTGAAATTCTTTTTTGTGTGTGTGTGAGGAAGGGGAGAGGGACATGCTGAGCAGAAATTATGGAGTTTGGAGCAGGGTCCTTGGAAGAGGGAAGGCGTGCGTGAGATTCCCAAATGGGTGGCGGTGGGGTGTATTTGGACAACCAGAAGACCCTGGAAGTCGGAAAGCTGGGAGTGGGGAGAACGTTCCTTCAGGCCAGGCTCTCAGCCTCGGGCCTGCAGGCCAACACTGCCTGGCAGTGTCATTCCTATCAAGTTTTATCTTTTAACCGATACTTATCCAAAGCTGGTTCCTTATGCTCCCCAGTTTTGGGGAAAGCAGTGAAGAGACCTTGTCAAATGTGAGGTCACTTCTTAGAACAAGGGAGGCTTGGAGGAATGACAGGGAGGGCGGGCCTGAAGGGGGCTTTCCCCAGTTCCAATCCCCAAGCCCCTCGTCCCAGATCCGCCACTACCCAGCTAGGGCCTCGGCTCTAAGCAGGCACCACTGGATGGCTGGGGAGAAGATGGAGGGAGGATGGTCGATGCCCCCAGGACAGACCATTAAGAAAGAGGCAGGAGACCGGCGCTTTGAGCTTCCAAGGCCCGGAGCAGCCGCCTTCCCGCCTAAATCCGCAAGATGGAAGTTGCTCCCTCTAGCTTTCCCAATGGCTAAGGCTGCTGGTTTCGTGAGTGACCCCTCCTTTCTCGTCCAAGTCGATTTCTAGCATTTATTGGATTCCAGAGTCTTGTTATTTAAGAATGCATCTTAAATGGCACTACTAATCCACCTTACGTGCAGCTCAGATTCAGTTTTGGGCGGCAGGAAAAGTTTCCGAGGCGCTGTGTGTACCCCACCCCAGTACACAGTGTGTGCGCGCCAAGCTGCGTGCGAGGAACGTGGCGGGAGGGCAAGGGGAAGCCAGGCAGCTCCCATGCAGCCGACCGGTCAGAAGTGAGAAACCCGGGTGCTCGGCTGTGTGGGTGTGAGCCCTCGCGCGACCCCAGGCCCGCGCCTCTCCTGTTCCCGACGGAACGTGCCCGCAGCCTCACCTCTCCTCCAGCCCTTTCCCAGCCAGGCGCTTCCTTTTTGGTCCTCTAGGCATTTATTACAAATTCCGTGACTAAAACACGTCGGTGAGAGCTCCTCGGAGCCCAACCCGCCGTGGGGCCCCGGCCTGGGTCTGTCTCGGGGCGTTTCTGGCGTTTCTGCCGGCGTGGGGTGCGGGTCCCCCTGGGGCGGTTCAGGCAGGTTCTCCTGCGTCCGAGGAGGTGGTCGGGGCGCCCTGGCGCAGCAAGATTCTCCCCGAGCCGAGCCGGGGGAGGGAAGACCGACTGGGGAAGGGGCGTCTCGGAGGGCTGGAGGCCAGGGCGGGCTGGAGGCAAGCGCACCTTGGGCGTGAGGGCAAAGTTCCCCAGGTCCGCGCAGAGAGCACACGTGCCTGTGCGCGCAGGGTTAGGCCCCGGCAGGCAGGCTGCGCGGGGATCCGGGCGCGCGGGGCCGGCGCCGGAGGGGATCCTTCCTTTCCCTGGTACCAGCGGGGAGACGGTCGGCTCCCGGGCTCCGGGACGCCTCAGCCGACGGAGGGTGGAGCCCCCCTCAGACCCGAGCCTCCAGGCTGGGGTTTGTTTAGCGCCATGCACACCCCTTGCACCCTCGGATGGCTCCGGCGCTCCGGACTCCGCGCCCTCCAGCCTCGGCTCAATCCTGGCTTCCCAGACCTGGCGGCGCAGGGGGCGGGGGCCAGGGCAGTGGGGGCAGGAGGGCGCAGCCCGTCCCCGGGGTGGGGAGGGCTGCGGGGGGAGGAGGAGGAGGGTGCCGACCACTGGGTGGGTTCGAGCCCTAGCCGTAGCCGGGGGAGCCAGTCAGTTTCCGGCCAAGACAGCAGGTCAGTCCCGGGAAGGGCGGGCGGCGGTTGAGCCGAGGGAGCCGGCGGCTGGGCTCTCCTCTCGGCCCGCGATCCCCGGCGCCACCGCCACCGCCGTGTCTCCGCTGCCGCCGCCGCTGCAGAGCCTCGCTGCTCCGCCGCGCTTCCGCGCCCCGCGCCACCAGCCGCCTGGGAGCCCGAGCGCGGAGCCCCGGGCGGAGGAGAGGGGCGCGGGCCCGAGAGCCACGGCAGCGAGGGAGCCGCGAAGGGGGAAGGGGGCGGGCGGAGGGAGGATCAGGGAGAGGGGGAGAAGGGGGAGGGAGAGAGGAGAGCTGGGGAGAGCGAGAGCAAAGAGTGAGAGCAAGGGAGAGGAGGGAGAAAGACACACGCACGCAGAGACACACGGTCACTGGAATTCCATTAGAAAAAAGTGAGCCGAGCAAGGGTTAGCGGAAGAAGATTTTTTAGAATCTTGTCTTCGTCTTGCTGAGAAAGAAGCGACTCCGGTCTCTGGTCCTTGAAGCTCCGACTGGATTGTTCCTGGGCGCTGACACCGTTGGTGGATTTCTTTCCTATTTGCATTTTATTCCGACCCCCTCCCTCGCTGCTTCCTTCCAGCCCTTCACTCGCAAATCGCCTCTCTCTCCACCTCCCCAGGCCCCTCCTGGGAAGCGCAGGGGAATTGGACCCTCGGGGACTCGCACCTTCTCCGATGATTGGAGGGGAGGGCTGACCCCAGGACTGGGCTGTTGGCTTAGAAAGCCGATACACAGATACGCATATATTTGATTGTAGCGGGCAAGGGGGGCGTCAAGAGGCAGCCCACCGCCCTCCTCTCACCCCACCCCCTCCAGCCAGAGGCGAGAATCGCAGGACTCGGGATCTTCGTCGGGTGGACTAGCTGGGATCTCCGCATTGGATTTGGGGCTGATTACCACTGCTTGGCTATTATTGTTGTTGTTGTTACTATTACTATTTTTTTTTACCCAAGGGAGAAAGACAAAAAACGGTGGGATTTGTTTAACATGATCTTGGCAAACGCCTTCTGCCTCTTCTTCTTTCTAGGTGAGTACCTGCGGGCTGCGAGAAGCCGGGGGGAGGGGGGGCGGGGAAGGTGGGGGCGGGAGGGGGTGGGCGAGCGGTGGAGCGCCGGCAAGGGGCTAGCCGGAGGCCTGCGGGAAGAGCGCGCCGCGGAGTGAGCCGGGCCGGCACTGGCGAACCAAGCGGGGCCAGGCGGCGGGACACAGGCGAGGGATCCGAGCCGCGGCTGGCTGGCGACGCGGGGTGGTCGGGAGGGAGACTCAACATCCGACCGGCCCCGCACACATGCACGCACACACACACACACACACACACGCACGCTCGCTCACACGCCAATATAGCGCTCATCTCCTCCGGAATAATGGGTTCGAATTGCGGCAACTTAAGGAAAATAATTGTCTAACTCTTGATCTGCAAGAGGGGAGGTAGGGAGAGGTTCCCAGGCGCGGAAAGAATAGTGCTGCCGGGTCGCCTTTCCTGGTCTGCCCCAGAGTCGGTCGTAGTGGTGGAGGGTGCGGGTTTCTCCGGCGACTCCGGCTTGGACATCGAGGGGGAGCGCTGGCAGTCACTTCCAACCTGGCAGCCGCGCCTGGCGAATGCATTGCTCGTCTTCACACCCCCAGCCCCTTCCCTGCGTCTCCACTCCCCGGAACACTTTTCAAGTTTTTCCCCACCCAGACCCCAGCCAGATGGGTAGGCGGGAGCGGAGGGTTGTGAGCAGCCGTTCCCGGCCTTCCCTCCTCCACCTCTGGGGGTTGCGGACCCCGGTAGGTGTGGGAAGGGCGGGAGAGAGGCCAAAGTTTGCTTCCTCCGTTGAAGAGGGTGGGAGGCAGAGAGGAAAAACGAACCTGAACAAAGACCAGTGCTACTTCCGTAAGCCCCCTCCTTCCAGGACGGGAAGGAGGGGCTGCCTGGCGCCCCTGAGCCCCACGCAGTTTCTTTTTCACGCAGAATTCCCAACCCCTTGTTCCCTTTTAAGTTAGGTGAAATCTCAGCTCTCAGCTGCTTGGGAAGCGGGTCTAGAGAAGGCCATCTCCTGAGGGAGGTGAGGAAAGGCGAGCGCTTGCAAGGCTGTACACCATCCGGAGTCCCAGGCAGGGCTGCTGCCTGGAAGTAGATGCTCCCATAGAGGGAGCCGGGTAACTACTGTGCGTGTGCGTGTGTGTGTGTGTGTGTGTGTGTGTAAGGGGCACACGTCTGCTTCAGTGAGGGTGCTGTTCTACCAGCTTGGCTTGCTGTGTAGCCAGTGTTTAGCGGGGCTGCCCAGTGGGGTCGTGATTGCACCCTCTCCCTCCTGCAGCAGCAGGGGATCCGGGAAGGCCCCAACTGGGGAGGTAGGAGCTGGTTACAGAAGGATATGTGCGGTCTAAGAAGTGCCCACCAGACTGGGATAGGGCACCAGCATCATTGGGTGTCCACGAAGGCCCTGGACCCTTTGCCTGTCCCCTCCACTTCCCCGCAGTCGGGAGTCCCCAAGAGGACAAGGCCCTGCCCTGGGTGTGGCCTTAGAGGTCCTGCCTCCCTCAGCCAGAGGCAGCTGCTCTCTGGGATGGGAGGGGCTCAGCCAGGAAGCTGGAAGGTGCTCTGGGCCCACTGTGATTCTGAAGCCCTTCCTGGCAACCCTGGCAAGTGGACTCTCGTTCTGAAGGGCTACTATAAAATCTAACCTTTTCTCTCACCGCTGGCTTGAAAACTCAGCTTTCTGGGTCGAAGCATGATCAGGGTCAAGGAAAAATAAATTGTATTTCAGGCAAAGCAGCCAGATTGCCTGCTGGTCAGCTGCATACCCCAGGATGGGCAGGGCTCCCAGGTGTGGGCACTGTCTGGGCTGGGGGATGGAGAAGAGCATTGTGGGCTCCTAGACATTGCAGGCAAGCTTTCCTCAGCCGGGCAGGCCGAGGAGTCCACCTTTCTCCTTCTCAGAAATGGCACTGGGGTTCCTGCTCATGGTAGGTGTGTATGTGTATGCATGGGGGATGGTCAGAGTGGCCAAACCCAATATCTGCAACTCTGGAGGCTGAGTGCTGAGAGGTGGGGGTGACAGCAGAAAAGCAGCAGACTCTTCAGTTTCCTTCCCTTGAGAAGTCCCCTTCCAAAGGTGGGCTGAGTAGAGCGACCACAGATATTGAAAGGCTCTGGGTTAGGCCAGTGGAAAGGAAGGGATGGGTTGGTGTTTAGGAAACTTCAGCCCTGGGCCCCTTTTTCTGGCAGGGAGCTGGGTGGAAATCCCACTGGGTGGGTGAGCGGAGGGTGGGGGGAGGTTTTTCTGGGACTTGAGACTTGGTGGGCAATTTCAGCTGGGGGCAAGGGCCTTTGGTGTGCCCCTACGGAGATTCTGAGTGAGGTCTGGGTTGGATAATCTGTGCTGGAGAGAGAGACCTTTCTCGCCCAGTATCTTGACTTCCAGTGCTGACCCAGGGAGAGAGGGAGATGGGGAAAGTGACTCGGGCGGGGGCATTGGGCTGGCCAGGGGGCCTCTTCCGACTAGCTTTCTAGCACACATTCTAGCTCTGGTGGGCTGCTGGATGCAGGAGGGCAATTGTAGCTCTGTGTCGCTTCTCCACCCCCCTCCACCCCCATGTCTCTCGCAGCTACTCCCCGTCTTGCTGGATTGAAGTTTTCTCCTAATTTAGGACTTGGAAATATCGCCAGGACACCCCCTACCCTTCACTCTTAATATTCTTGGCTAAAGGCTGCAGGCTGCAGGGATTCTTTTCTCTGGATGGACTTGATTGTTTCTGGGGGTCATGGAATGGACTAGAAGAGTCAAGGATGGTTTGGTGAATGGATGCCTTGGCCCTTTGCAGAGTGTGTCCCTCGCCTGGTCACACATGCCAGGTGGCAGGATGGGGAAAGCCCTCGCTTTTGGCATGGGAGCCTCCCTAAGATTGTGTAAGCATCATCCTGTGGGGTTCTAGGCCCCACCTGTAGGACAAGCAAAGTAAGTGTCCTCATGGCCTGAATCCCCTAAGCTAATCTGAACTTTAGGCATGCGGTGAATTCTGTGCCTACAGAAGGCGAAGGAAGCTGGGAAGTTCCATTCCCAGGCCCCCCAGGACAGTGCAGCCTCGGGTTCAATCGAGGAGGGAGGGCATTAGCCTGGGGATTGGGTGGGGTGAAGTCAGTGGAGGACACAGGGCTGTCCTCTTCCAGAGGAAGGATTCTTGGCTGAGGGCTGCAGGTGCAGGCGGGCCCGGGGCTGTATCAACTCAGCTGCTCTTGGGGAGCCCAGATGTACCCGGATCCTGCTCAGGGAGGTAGGAATCTGCTGAAGCAGAGAGAGAAAGATGCTGCCTCAGCTTGTGTCGAGGACACCTCTCCAGCCGGTGCAAGCCTCACACTCCGAGTGGATTTCTCGTTTGGTCTAGTCTCAGCCTGGCTGCCTCCATTAGCCTTCCTGTTCTGGGGCAGAGGTCTGGTCAGTGAGAGAAGGGCCCATCTTTGGCTCTGGGCCTGGAAGAAGCCTTCTGTACCCCAGGCCTACCACTGCTGCTCTTCCCTGTTGTCTCCTGTGGGTGGGTCTCCTGTCTGCTCTCGTCTGGAGTGGACTCTTCTTCCCTGGGGGCCTTGGGGAGCGAAGGCCCGCTGTGCAGCGCCCTGCCTCTAGGTGTCGCTGTCCCCCTGCAGTAGCGCCCCCCTGAGCCGGGCCTCCCCCCGGAAGGCCTGAGAGTGGCAGTTCTGGATAGGGATGGGGGGATTCTGCGGTATTTTGAGGAGGGGACTTTTGGCCTAGGATTTTATTATGTTCTGGGGCGACATGGAGTCGAGGAAGCCTCCCACATTACTCTCTGGGTCCAGGAAAGGGCAGTCATGGCTCTGGGCCATGGTGAGGGCTTTTCCTGGGGGCAAGATCTGGAGTTGGGGGCTTAGCAGAGGTCAGAGAGGCTGGGAGTCTGTGTCTGCAGGAGACCATTTTAGGAGCTTGGCTTTGAAAGGATCAGGCGAGCCTGTCCCTGCCGTTCACCTCTCTTCCTCCCTGTCCCCTCCCTCCTGAGGCACAGTAGGTGTGGCCATGGGGGCCACCGAGGGGAAGGTGGGCCGCTGGGGGATTGCACGTTGCTGGAGGAGCAAGGCTCCATTTGCAAGGCTGGGGTCCGAGGAGGGGAGCTTTTCTCTTTTGCAATTATTTGTCTTTTGGGAGGAAAAACAAAATGAGAGGTAGAGGGGAAGGGTTTTCAGAGGAGGGGGGAGAGAAAGGTAAAAAGAGAGAGAGGAGCCGAGAGAGAAAAAACAAGGCCATTCAAAGAGAAGAGGTAAAAGGTGACAGAAGCGGACTTCTTGGGAGGCTGTCGGTAAGAGAAGCGTGAGATACAGCCAGGCATTAGCAGACCTAGGATGGGGCGGAGAGAGCAGGGGACCCTCTGGGGGGGACGGGGACATGGATGCCCCGCAGGGTTGCCAAAAGCATTTTCTGTTGGAGGGGTTGGGGCGGAACTTGTCTTGTGGAAGGCGAGGGTTTAGGTCTCCGTCTGGTGTGAAGCTGGGCTGGAAGGTGTGGAGGGTGAGGTGGGGTGGGGTAGCTCCTGGGCTCGCCTGGACGGTGGCGTTAGGCTCATCTCTCCTTGTCTTGTTTTAAAGTCAGAGTGAGACTCAGAGTGAGCGCACTGGGAATTGGAGGGGGCGCTTCCACCTCTGTGTGTGACCTTGAGCTGTCATCATCCTTCTTTGGGCCTCAGTTTCCCTAGGGTAAGAGGTGGGGAGAGACTCTATGTCATGGCATCTGTGAGGTCCTGACGGGCCATGCCCAGTGAATGACTTTGCAGTGCTTTCAAGTCTTCGTGCAGCGCTGTGGATGGGCCTCTGGCTGGAGTTGGGGCTTACAGGAGGCCTGGGTGGTGTGAAAGTGAGCTCCTCCCTGCGCCCTGCAAGCGGGGGCCCCCAGCTCTCTGCTGAGGCTGGGACATTCTCCTCTGGGCTTCTGACGTCTTGGACTGTGGTCTTGAGCGAGGACCTTCCTGGCTTTATTGGGCTGTGCTCCTAGGCCCAGGCCGCTGCTGAGGAGGAATGGAGTGGAAGCGGAGAAAGCTTGCTCCCAGAGCAGGGGAGGATGGTGCCTGAGTTTTCCCGTGGGTGTGAGGAGGGCTGGCCCACAGAGTCGCCTCGCTGCGCCTTGGTGTGAAGTGGGTGTGACATTCCCAGCAGGGCCCAAGCCCCCAGGCCTGCATCTTGGGTGGGAGATCGTGGCGCCCGCCATTCATGCTTGTCTTCCCTCCCCACCACCCAGACGAGACCCTCCGCTCTTTGGCCAGCCCTTCCTCCCTGCAGGGCCCCGAGCTCCACGGCTGGCGCCCCCCAGTGGACTGTGTCCGGGCCAATGAGCTGTGTGCCGCCGAATCCAACTGCAGCTCCCGCTACCGCACGCTGCGGCAGTGCCTGGCCGGCCGCGACCGCAACACCATGCTGGCCAACAAGGAGTGCCAGGCGGCTCTGGAGGTCTTGCAGGAGAGCCCGCTCTACGACTGCCGCTGCAAGCGGGGCATGAAGAAGGAGCTGCAGTGCCTGCAGATCTACTGGAGCATCCACCTGGGGCTGACCGAGGGTAAGCCTGGGCGGGGCTGGCCCGGGAGAGGGGGCGTGGCGCAGGCGGAGAGGACGCCTGGTGGGCCAGAGGTTCAGTAGGGAGTCTTGGTGATGGGGCAAACCGGCCTTCTGTGTCCACCTGCCAGGGGAACCTAGAACCCAGAAGAAGTCTCTGCGCCACCTAGGAGGGTGGCATTGTTGGAGAAGGCCAGGAGGGACAAAGAGGAGGCAGAAGCAACAGCTGGAGGAAGAGAGAGGGAGGTGGTGGAGAGAACACAGGGTGGAGAAAGTGG